CGTCTCCGCCTAGGGTTGTCCAACCCGTAGGATTTTAACCAACTTTTATTTCTTCCCTTAGAGTTCTAAAGCAACCTAGAAGATCTCACTATCTTCTTTCCGTAGTACTTCCCACTACACCTTAGACACTCAAATCCTAGAAATAAAAGCTAACACACTCAAACAACTTCGAGTATTATAATTTTACTACAAAGTGTATCACTCAAGTATTACAAAGTTTAGCACAAGTGAACACTCGTATTTTTCCCTCACTTTTAAGTAATAAAAAGTAGTAAACAATGAGAGAATTAAAGCTCTTAGAATAGCACAAGACTTCTTGAAAAACTTGGATAATAAAACCGGCTGATCTTCATGCTATTTATAAGGCTTTGAAGCTGACTTTAAAACGTTGCCAGCAGTCTCTGGGTCTTCAACAAACTCCAGAAATTTCGAAGCTTTCAAATTTAAACTTCAAAGCTGCTTTTAAATTCAACGTTTATCTTCCAGCTAGAAATCTGTTACAGCATACTTAGCTTCCTAAAAACCAGGTCAGCAAGCACAAGTAACATCAATATTTATCTTAAACAGAAAACTTATCATGTCAGCCAAATAAGATAAATAATAGGATAGATAAATACATTTGACAGAAAATTATCTTTACAACATAAAGATAAAATCAGTTACTTAAGGAATAATAAAAATATAAACATGCTTAGCAGAATATACGAATAGGTTAGCATACTTAGTATGATATATTCGAATATAAATTGACAGAACCATAAAATAAACTAAGATAAATAAACTAAGCATATTAGTATATTAAATAAACATTGACTATTCATTTTGACTTCCATCATCCAATATAAGACTAAGTAAGAAAATAAACGAAACAACAAGGTGGAGTCATCACAGAGTTGTGCAAGGAATCAATTATGGTACGTCTATTATCTGTCGTAAAACATAACACTTATTCCAGGAAAATTATGTGGTACATTATTGAAGGGGTAGGATATAGAAGCTAAACTAGTATTTTTATGCGTTTAGAGTGCTCTTGCTTACTATATCTGCTCCCTAAAAGATTTCTGGGATTTGCTCATGAGATGATTAACTGCCCTGAGGCAGTTTATATCTTTTCTAGAGTGTTTTTATGTGTTACTTCCTCCCTTTTGCAACTACATTAGCTTTTGGAGGCCTTTATGTGATGGTCTTTAGTCCTTTGTTTTCTATTATATATACTCTGTAATTGATTTATGTGATCTCCTTGCTGGTACAGTCCGTACTGATTTGGTATAGGATTTCCAAGACCTTGGCTGAAGATGCTGCCTGAAAATTTTGCAAAGAGAATGGTATCGAAAATTAAAAAAAAAAAAAAAAAAAAAAAAAAAAAAAAAAGACCGAAGAAGTATAAAGTATAAACTACTACAGAGTAATTGATTTTGCAACAAATTTATGCGTTTTTGGTTGAATGATATTCACACTTTTATTTATTTTAAAGAATTATTTCTCCAATCAAATCAAAAATACTCCCTTCGTTTTTTTTTAACGAGTAATTTTTTTATTGTAACGAATACTCGTATTACCAATTTTTTAACCCTCATCCGCTCAAAACAATACTCACTTCGTTATTTTTTAATTGCAACCAATACTACCAACTTTATAACTTTCTGTCAATGCCTGATGATAGTAAAAATACAAGTATGACTTGAAACAAGAAATAGTATGTTAGAACAATAGGAGTAACGAATCAACAAGATTGGTTAAAACATTTGATGTGACCTATCTTAGTGAGAAAAAAGCATGTACAGAATTATTCATCTTAACAGTCCATTTAATATAATTTGATACTCCGTACGATTTGATGTACTTTGCTCAGGCTAACGACAAAAAAACTGTAATTAATATACCAAAGATTATGTCATATTGTTACTATAATTAACTACTTCTAGCTTTTGGCGCTCTTTCTTCCATTTCCTTTCCTCAGACTTTTTTGTCTGCTGTTTTCAGCTGCATTTCTTGCATACCCTTTAATTTTACAATAAATTTCATTTCTTGCATTACCTTTCATTTCTCTCTTCCTCTGTTTCTGTCTCTTGGACGTTTAAAGTGCTGCTCAACCCCTCTTTCGTTCCCACTGCGCACCGGAGTTCGGACGTCTGCAGTTTCCAGCACCCTCAGTCTGTCCGAGTTTCCGACCGCACCTTACAATTTTATGATTCAGGTAACTCGTTAAAGTTTTCAATTTCTTATTCTCCATGACTTGTTGTTGGGTTGATTTTGTGCTTAGATTAGTTGTTTTTCTTATTTAATTTATCATATTAGTGTAGGTGTTGCTTGAAATTCATGGGAAGTTTTTTTTTTTTTTTTTTTTAGGGATCATGGGAAGTTGTTTAATATGGCATTTTCTATTTTTTAGTTAGAAATTGATATTATAATGGGCATTTTAATTCTTTGCCAAAATTGAGAACCGTTAAATTTAACTAAATCAGTTTAATGCCCTGTTTTAAAGTTATAAGTTTAATTAATTGTGCAATGTGTTATTATTTGACGGGGATTTTTTTATTTGATCATAATGTGTGATATTAGAGTTGTTAAGTTATTTCTAATTATACAGTTTGAGTAGGAATTTTGGGTTTCGATTAAGATTTAAAAGTGTTACTCCCCGTTCCTTAAAGATTGTCTTGACCTACTCCAAAATTGACTAGAAACAATGGTGAAACGAGAACAAGGAACGTCTTCTTACTCTGATGAAGCAATGGTGAATGATTCGCAACCTCGTTCTGAGCCGAGAGTTGTGGATGGAACAATGTTGAAGCGAAAAAGAGGAAGGCCCTTTAAGATAAATGATTTGCTGGATTTACCGGGATTCTTCGAGATTTATCTGCCAGAATACAACTCAAAGAAATTGGTAAAAAAATTTCTTTTTATTACTTAAATTTTTACATTTTGCAATAGTTCTAGTATAGGCTGTTTTACATCCATAAGTGGTTTGAATTCATGTATGAGTAGATTAAATTGAGAATAAATTTTTCCATATTCATTATGTTGTGTTATGGATCTAAAATTAGGTTCAGGTAAGACAAATTTTATGTTGTGTAAGGCAAATTTCGTCACTTACATTCTAAAAAGTACATATGACATCTAAAATTTTGCCTTCGGTGTAGCTATCTGTTATATCTAGGCCGGATTTATGTATGAAATTTGGCAGCTTACAAGAAAATATTATATCACCAAGACTTTAAGGAATCGACTTTTTTTCATTATCTAGGTGTTATTTGTTGTTAGAAGTTGAGTAGAAAAAAAATTGGCATTATAATTGTTCACAATGTCCATAGAGCTTAGTACGTTCTGTTAGAATTTTGTGATCTTGGTGCTTGAATATTGACCTTTTCTTGTGCTACTTAATAACTGGTCTGATCCTAACCGCTTGAAGTAGACAAAAGCTTCCTTAGGAGTAAAAATACTTTGTGATGTAATTTTAAAACTGAGAAAGCAAGACATGATTACTAGAAGTAAATGACTGTGTTTCTTCTATGTTTTTTGGTTGTGTTGTAGCTTCCTCTCCTTGATTAAGCGAAAAAAGAAGAACTATGACATGCATGTGCAAAGTTGTTGAGAATATAAGTATATAAGCTACTTACTGCTGCTAAAAACTGGACTTGCAAAACACTTGAATCAAAGCTTGTGCTCAGAAAAATCTTGTTTGAATCCTATAAAATTTTAGTGTGAAGATTCTTTCTCATATCTTGGAGGTGATACCTCGCGATTTTATAAAGAATTTTAGTGGGAAGATTGACAAGAATGTAAACTTAAGAAACCTACGAGGAAAAACTTGGAAAATGGAGTTGGAACAGGCTAGATACCTACGTATATATCCTGGTATCGTAGGTATCCTGAACCTAAAATTTGTCTTACCTGAACCATAGCAAGGCTATTAGGAAGGCAAAGCTTTGTATATGGGCCATGGGAAAGGGTTTACTAGGGATTAGCTACCGGATGTTTGAGAAACATGCCGGAGAGGAAGGGCGTAGATGAGATAATCAAGAAAGCCCTTCTTGAGCAGTCTGGTATATTAGTTCTTGATGAAGGCCACACACCTAGAAATGAGGATAGCCACATTTGGAAGGTCTTCTCTGAAGTGAAAACAAAGAAAATAATCATACTTTCCGAGACCCCTTTTCAGAACAACTTTGCGGAGTTAAACAACACACTTTCTCTTATAAGAGAAGAGTTTGGGGATCCTTTTTTGCGCGGGAATCATTTGCAAAGTGGAAGGAAAAATAAGGCAAACAAAAGGGGATTTATACTAATACTAGCAAGGTGAATGAAGATAGAAGAATTAAGGACTTAAGGAACCGTCTGAAGCCCTTTGTACATGTTCACAAAGGGGAGATCTTGAGAAAGATTCTTCGCGGGCTGTTTCATTCCGTGCTTCTACTAAAGCCCTCTGAGTTGCAGAAGACTTATATCCGGAAATTGGATGTGTTCAAGAGCGGCTTATTGTTAGAATACTTGGTTTCTATTGTCTTGGTACACCCTTCTCTTTTGTATAAATGTGAGCAAGTTCCTGCTTTCGTTGACAAGGAAATGTTGGAAAAGCACGAAGCAGACTTGGATGTTGGGGTAAAGATCAAGTTTCTCTTTAAGCTCATCAAGCTCAGCAAAGGGGAGAAAGTTCTGGTGTTTAGCCAATATCTGAACCCTTTAACCTTAATTAGAGATCTGCTGAAACTGCACTTCAATTGGACCGAGGGAAATGAATTTTTGTTTATGGAAGGGAAGCAACACCCAAAGATAAGGCAATCGTTGATTGCGCAATTCAATGATCCCGGAAGTGCAACAACGGTTCTTCTAGCCTCTACCAAAGCATGTTGTGAAGGGATTCACCTTGTTGGTGCCTCAAGGGTGGTCTTGCTCGACGTTGTTTGGAACCCTTCTGTTGAAAGGCAAGCCATAAGCAGGGCTTACAGGTTAGGTCAGAAGAATGATGTCTATTTTTATCACCTCATCACTTCACACTGCAACGAGACAAGTATGAGAGGCAAGTGGCAAAAGAACGTGTGTCTGAGAAAGTTTTTATTTCTTCTGAGGTTGAAGGAGTGCATAATACAGGTACATTGTCGATGATTTCAAAGGATCAGATCCTAGAAGATCGGATCCTAGAAGTGCTGGTAGATGATCTTCTCAAACATGCACTTCAGTTTCTCGTGTTCGACCATCTCTTCTAGGATCCGATCTTCTAGGATCTGATCCTCTGAAATCATCGACAATGTACATGTATTATGCACTCCTTCAGCCTCAGAAGAAATAAAAACTTTCTCAGACACACGTTCTTTTGCCACTTGCCTCTCATACTTGTCTCGTTCCAGTGTGAGGTGATGAGGTGATAAACATAGACATCCTTCTTCTGACCTAGCCTGTAAGCCCTGCTTATGGCTTGCCTTTCAATAGAAGAGTTCCAAATAACGTCGAGCAAGACCACCCTTGAGGCACCAACAAGGTGAATCCCTTCACAACATGCTTTGGTAGAGGCTAGAAGAACCGTTGCCGCACTTCCGGGATCATTGAATTGCGCTATCAACGATTGCCTTATCTTTGGGCGTTGCTTCCCTTCCATAAACAAAAATTCATTTCCCTCGGTCCAATTGAAGTGCAGTTTCAGCAGATCTCTAATTAAGGTTAAAGGGTTCAGATATTGGCTAAACACAAAACTTTCTCCCCTTTGCTGAGCTTGATGAGCTCAAAGAGAAACTTGATCTTTACCCTAACATCCAAGTCTGCTTCGTGCTTTTCCAACATTTCCTTGTCAATGAAAGCAGAAACTTGCTCACATTTGTACAAAAGAGAAGGGTGTACGGAGACAATAGAAACCAAGTATTCTAACAATAAGCCGCTCTTGAACACATCCAATTTCCGGATATAAGTCTTCTGCAACTCAGAGGGCTTTAGTAGAAGCACTGAATGAAATAGCCCGCGAAGAATCTTTCTCAAGATCTCCCCTTTGTGAACATGTACAAAGGGCTTTAGACGGTTCCTTAAGTCTTCAATTCTTCTATCTTCATTCACCTTGCTAGTATCATTATAAAACCCCCTTTTGTTTGCCTTATTTTTCCTTCCACTCTGCAAATGATTCCCGCGCAAAAAAGGATCCCCAAACACTTCTCTTATATGAGAAAGTGTGTTGTTTAGCTCCGCAAAGTTGTTCTGAAAAGGGGTCCCGAAAAGTATGATTCTTTTCTTTGTTTTCACTTCAGAGAAGACCTTCCAAACGTAGCTATCGTCATTTCTAGGTGTGTGGCCTTCATCAAGAACTAATATACCAGACTGCTCAAGAAGGGCTTTCTTGATTATCTCATCTGCGCCCTTCCTCTCCGGCATGTTTCTCAAACATCCGGTAGCTAATCCCCAGTAAACCCTTTCCCATGGCCCATATACAAAGCTTTGCCTTCCTAATAGCCTTGCTATGGTTCAGGTAAGACAAATTTTAGAATCAGAATACCTACGATACCAAGATATATACGTAGGTATCCAGCCTGTTCCAACTCCATTTTCCAAGTTTTTCCTCGTAGGTTTCTCAAGTTAACATTCTTGTCAATCTTCCCACTAAAATTCTTTATAAAATCGCGAGGTATCACCTCGAAGATATGAGAAAGAGTCTTCACACTAAAATCTTATAAGATTCAAACAAGATTTGTCTGAGCATAAGCTTTGACTCAAGTGTTCTGCAAGTCTAGTTTTTAGCAGCAGTAAGTAGCTTATATACTTATATTCTCAACAACTTTGCACATGCATGTAATAGTTCCTCTTTTTTCGCTTAATCAAGGAGAGGAAGCTACAACACAACCAAAAAACATAGAAGAAACACAGTCATTTACTTCTAGTAACCATGTCTTGCTTTCTCAGTTTTAAAATTACATCACAAAGTATTTTCACACCTAAGGAAGCCTCTTGTCTACTTCAAGCGGTTAGGATCAGACTGATTAAATAGCACAAGAAAAGGTCAATATTCAAGCACCAAGATCACAAAATTCTAACAGAATGTACTAAGCTCTATGGACATTGTGAACAATTATAATGCCAATTTCCTCCCTTTCGAACTCCTCTTCCCTCTTTTCGAATTCCACCTCCAAACTCCCCTCCAAACACCTCAAAACCCATAAATCCTGCACTAAAATCATATTCTATCATCATCTTCCTCAACTTTCAACAAATTACTTCCTCTTTCTTCCAAAAATTCAAGCAAAATTTTCAAAATCCTAACTTCAAATTTTGAATTTGGGGGTTTTTTAAGTTTCAATCTTTTGAAGAATTGGTTTAGCAAGGGAGTCTAGCAAGCATAAAGGAGCACTAGAGGAGTTCATTTGCGGGTTTTCACCGATAACATTGTCGATATATTTACGCCAACCCTTAGTGTTTTTTTCTTATTTTGAATTTCTTCTATTTGCTAACCCTGTTATAGATTGTTGAATTGGTTGGTACATTGTTGATAATAGTTGTTTTGGACTAAGATTTTGTGATTTTGGTTTTGAGATTTTGGTATTTTTAGTGTTTGTCCTTGTTGATTCTTGGTGTGCTGAGTCTTATTGCTTGATTTCTAACAATGTTAAGAAGAAAGAATGCCTCAAAGCGACCTAGAACCCAACCTACCCCATCTGTTGCTCCACCACCGGTGGAGACCTTAGGGATAGTTTCAATAACTCGGATTTCATGGCTGGATTAGCAAGAGGAAGATTAGGCCCACAAAGTTTATTATAATCATGAGGTTGCCATTGCTTTAGGTGTTGAAAACGATGTTAGGCAACTCTTTCTCCATACGGGAGTCTCTAGTTGGCTAGAATTGCATGCTCATACCTATAAGCGATTAACCCTTGAATTCCTTTCCTCTCTCTATCTCCACCGTGACACAAACAACAACCCTAGGTATATGACCTTTCAACTTATGAACTAATCCCACAAGATGACCATAGACCAAGTCAACCGAGCCTTTATGTTGCCTACTGATGGAAAATTTGGACCAAAGGAAAGGCCTCTAAGCACTACTTCGCCGGTGACTTTTGGCAAAAGATAACCGGTCTACCCGTTAGGAACCCTAGGTCGGACAAAGCCACATCCATTGTCCACCCCGCATTCCGACTTGCACAAAGGCTAATAGCCAACACTATATTTGCTAGGGGGGGTAGCTCGGGAGTAGTTTCTAGCTGGGAGCTACTTTTTCTTTGGCATCTAAGTGAGGGGGATGGGAGCCTTGACTTAGGGGCCTGGTTGGTTGACCACCTAGAGGATGTTGCCACAGGGGGGTGGGGTGATTACCATTGGAGGTATGAGTTCTATTATTGTTGTTTTCTTTGATCTTGATTTTACAGGTGAGGAGATCCTTCTGGGGCCAACAAGGCTAGATATCCAATCTCTAAAAGCCATGCATTGGTTGAAGGAGACCGATTGGGAAAACTGTTATTTATGGCTCGTCATGGAAAAGTCTTATGCCTATCTTCCCAATCCTGAGAAAACTGTCATCTATGAGCTTAATAATTGGATTTTTATACCTGATTTCACTTGGCTTCCCGAGGGTGAGATTGTTTATGAAGGAGATGATGATGATCAAGATCAAGGGGAGGAGCAGCCCCAAGACCAGCAACAACAACACCACCAACAACAAAGAGTAGCAACATGAAGAGGGGTTCAACTTTCAAATGCCGGAGGCCGACATCTCTTTTAACTATGAGCAGCGATTCAATGAACTACAACAAAAGTTCCAAGGCCTCCGCACCAATTTTGAGGGCGTCCGGAAGTCCAATGAGGACATGACGCTAGCCTTCACCACCATGAGGTCTAGTTTCGATAGTCTTCGTGACGAGCTTGCGGACTTCTGTCCGCTTACCGCCATCTATTTCCGGGAGGTTCTAGCTCCCAAGGCGGCCCTAGTCAGTGGTACCCCTCTATTCCCTCCCATTTTTCTTTGTTTGTCCTTGATGTCTAACATTGAGGACAATGTTTATACTAGCTTGGGGGGGTGGTTTACATGCTTTGCGGTTGTTGTTCACTAATGGTTTTTGCTTTGGTTTTGCTTTTCTAAAAAAAAACATAAAATATTCAAGCAACACACGAAGCCTTGACAAATAGGATGGTTGCTTTATTTTACCTTCAAGAGACAGTTGGTGAGATCTTTCCCTTATTTTTCTTTCTTTTGGTGTGCTTAGTCTAGGTTAGTATAGGATGAAGTTGAATGGTTCGAGGTTGTTTGTTTTTGGTTCTAATTAAGGGACCTAGGATCGTTGATGTTGATATCGAACGATCATTGTTTGACGATTGGGATTTGATTGAATCTATATGCCTTTTTGTGAACCTTTTTTATTTCTTCCTCTTTCTTTTATTTTGATTTTCCTTGTGTCAAGCATGATATGGCAAGATGATATGTTTGGTTTTGGATTTTTGTTCATACATTTGGACTCGATTCTTATGATGATGCGCCTTAGAATGCTTGTTATTTCTTAATTCAATGATGGATTACACGGTTTAAGAGTCCCTTTGGCTGATTTAGACGAATCTTAGCTAAGGTAGCAAGGTTAGAACTTTTGAGATCATTTGAACCCTTAGTTCGTGGATTGTGGTAAGATGGAGTTGCTCCCTATAGTGGATTTGAACCCTTTGGTTGGTATTTGCTTACTTTCTATCCCTTGTGAGGTCCTTATTCTTTTAGCCTTCATCACTTTATTGTGCGGCACTTTTAGGATCCTTGAATATGCAAGTCTTAATCTTTGTGTTGATTTCTAGCTCCCGAGATCGCGACCTAACACCTTTAGAGGAGGAAAAGGGCATTTTTCTCATTTTCATTTTTACTTCTTTTTATTTAGTTACAAATTGATTTTCTAATTTGCATCAACCTACTTGCTAACCAATTTGAGCCTTATATTTCCCTTTCTTGTTTCAACCACATTACAAACTTAATGACCAATGTTTTACCGGCCCTTTAGTTAGTGAAGCAATTGGCTTGTGAGGTTAATGTTTTGAGCATATTGAATATGAACAAGATATGTTTTGATAATTGGTTTAAGTAAAAGTTGAAGGTTGAGCGTGAATGTGAATATGCAAGAAAGACTTGAAAAAGAAAAAGAATGCAATGTGAATATCAATTTGTCTTTCATTGAAAAAGCCGTCCATAGTAAAAAAAGGCAAGGACATCAGATAAGCCTTTAAAAAAAAAAGAAAAAAAGAAAAGAAAAAAAAAATATGTTTTGAGAATTGTTGAATAAGGGTGGTAATGTAACAAAATCAAGTTTGATGGTTGTTCATTTGAGATTTGGTTCGCTTTCCTAAATCTTGTTTTTGAGAGTTGGCAGCTCTTTCGCTTCACTTAGGATTTACCTCCAAATTTTCAAATGAATTTCCCTACTTTTACCCATTGCCAAGACATTACAACCCTTGTAAATACCCTTAGATTTTAGAGGTGGGTGGTCAAAAGACCGGTGGAGGGAGATGGATTTCAATCCTATGGAGAGAGCATGCATAGTTGAGATGTCGGGATAACCTTATTATTTCCTCAAATTTTGAATCTTTTTCCGGTTCCTTCGTGGAACCATGAGGAGCCAACTAGAGGGATGATTTGATACTAGTGGGGAGAACGCGGACCGTTTTAAATGGGACTAGGGTGGAGAATGAGTCACTAGCTCTCTATGCTTGGCTTAGATTTGTTTCTTTCAACCATGGGCATCTTAGATCGTGTTTCCATCGTTTATTTGAGAAAGGCTAGTATTCTTTGGCATTTATCTATTCTTGTGAGTCCGAATCGAGCATTTTCCCACTTTGAGACTTGATGTGATTTTCAAAGCCTTGCCGTATTATGTTAGTCTTTGTAGTGTTTGCTTCTTCTCTTCATTCATGGTTTTGCTCGAGGACTAGCAAAAGTCCAGCTTGGGGGGATTTGATAGCTTGCTTTATTACGCGGTTTTAGAGTGATTTTATGCCTATTTATTATCCAAATCAAGCGATTTTGCCCACTTATTGCTCTAATCCCACACGTTCCTCTTACATCTCATGCTTCACGTGTTTGTTAGTGTTTTGTTGCATTTTCAGGTATATTTTGGGCACTATGAGACTTCCCGATGGTTGGCTACGAGGTTGAGGGCACGAGGTATCCTTGGTAAAGCTTAAAGTTCATTTGAAGACCTCCTGGGAGCTCTGCACGGTCGTGCAATACTTGGCACAATCGTGCAAGGAAGTTTGAAAGTTGGCAAAGTGTTCTGTGAAGGTTGCACGGTTGGCAGGATGGTGGCACGTCCGTGCAAGATTGCTGTTGGATGCGTTGAAGTTTCTACCTAGGTTGCACGCCCGTGCCGTACGTGGCACGTTTGTGCCAGGCCCCACTTCCAGGACGTGCGATGTTTGGCACGTCCGTGCCAATCTGTTTTAGGGCTGAATTTTTGTCCTTTCCGCCCCCTTTGTTTTGGATGAGTATAAACAGAATTATTGCCTCATTTATGGGAGAACCTAGATTCTAGAGAGTTTTGCTTAGATTCTCCTTTAAAGTATTTCTTAGATTTCATCAAATTTGACACTTTTTATTAGCATTCAAGAATATTTGATACAGGTAAACACAAAGGGACATGATAGAAAGAACCTTGCCCAATTCATAACTATGATGAACCTTTTCACTAATCGTTGGGTTGTATCGTGGGGTAGATTGTATAGGGTGTGTCTCGGGGGTATTAATGATTGATATGACACCAATTTTGAGGTAATGAACATTTAAAACATGGAGTTTCCCGAGACAAAGCGAATAGAACTCTTTTTACTATTCAACGAAACATCAATAAAACCAGCTAAAAACTAAAACAAGACTCACCCCTCATGAGTAACAAGAGGTGTTACTTATAAAAGACATGCAAAAGGGACGTTTTTCCAAAGTGAGCCAATTTTGGCAAATATTAACCAAAATGGTTGTGTGGCAAAAGTATTTACCAAACTAAGCTTCCAGGCTAAAACGCTGTCTCGGTCAGCGTTTTATGCCAGGGTTTTTTTTTAAAAAAAAATCAACCTAAAAACGCTGTCTGGGACAGCGTCTTTGTTGTTGACCTTTTTTTTAAAAAAATTTTGTAATTGCCTTTTATTTATAAAAATGTTTTTAAAAAAAAACAGTTATACCAAAGACGCTGTCCCAGACAGCGTTTAACGCTTAACTATAAACGTTGTCTCAGACAGCGTTTAAGGTTATTAATGAAACGCTGTCTGAAACAGCGTTTCTGTTGTTTTTTTTTCCCTCCAACAGCGTATTTGATTTCATTTCCTCCTCCTTCATTCTCAAACCCCTTCTTTCCCAAACTCTAACTTAATCCCCCTCTCTCTCATACTTGTGCTCCTCCGTGTAGACCGCCGCCGGCGCCGCCACCTCCACCGTCGCCCTCCGTGTAGCCCACTATACACTCCCCTCACCCTGAAATAGGTATTCATTCAACTTTCTTTGTGTTTTAAATTCTAGGGTTTATGTTGGTGATTTCTAATTTTTTTGGAATTGGGTTAAAATGTTGATGAGGTTGAGTTGTTAGTGTTAAAAATGTTGAATTGTTAGTGTTGGTATTGTTGAATTATTAGTGTTGGTAATTGTTGAATTGTTAGTGTTGATATTGTTAGTGTTGATAATAGTTTGGATAATGTTGAATTGTTGTTGTTGGTTTTGTTGAAAATTGTTGACAATGGTTGATAATTATTAGGTTTTGAACAATTGGAGGACCTCTGTTTGTGCTTCAGGTATACTACGTATATTATCACAAGCGAATTATGCAATGAGTAATGTCATATTTAACATAGTTATGTGTTTTGCTATTGAAGCTATGGGCTTGGGAGCACATCCACGTAGGAAGACCAGGTAAGCCTGCTGTACATTGTCCGGGGCAGCAGGACCAGGATGACCAGTATGAGCCGTACATCGCTCCGCCTCGCCCTGCAGCTGATGAGGCTTACGGTTGCAGGTTTGTAACAATTGTCATTTTTTTCCCATATACGATTTCATTTTGTAAACATACTTACCAAATTTGTTGCCCCAGGTGGATGGTCCCCAGACTCACACAGGCACATGCGGCGACGGGTCTCCCATACTACCGAGACGCCCTTGATCGACTCACTGAGGATTAGGTACAAACTCTGAAGACATTTGTAATCATTTAGGTACTGTGTATACTGATTGTGGACTAACTTATTTAGGATGTGTTATTGCAGATCACATGGGATCCGTATGTACCGGAGTTGGTAGATGTCATGCCTGCACATCTACTGGAGCATCAGGGAGAGTGGCGTGCCCGGGTCCCCCTGATCTGTTTCGAGGTTGTGGAGAGTCACCTACCTGACCGCGTCATGCGACAGTTCGGACTGCAGCAGCCTATTCCCCAGAACTGTGACACTGTCGTGCGCCTTCACGACATTGACCGTCGGGGAAAGACGGAGACAAACTGGGCACTGGAGCATTGGCAGTATCTTCAGTTATGGGAGCCAGCGGTTGGGTCATGTCGTTCAGGGTTATCCCATTCAGGGCGTTATGGATCATGACAATCCGTACATGGTGTGGTACAGGCTTATCACACGCCGTTTCATCAACCCCAGCTACACACCACTGTCCACCCATTACCACCCGGCACATGACGTCATTAGCGGATATGTGAGTTTCTTTTACTATACTTATCATCCTCATTTTTTAACTTTTTTAAATATCATGTACTTGACTGATCGATGATTACTACAGGCGGCGGATATGGTGGCGATGTATGATGCACTGTCCCTCGCCCTTACAGACGGACCCACCAGAGCCCAGGTCCAGCGGATGCGAGATATGTCCGCGACTTCCTTACGCATACATGGTCACGGTCATCTCATCCAACAGCGGGACGGTGATGATGGTCACTCCATCCATTCGCGGTTCGACCCCGGCCAGAGTAGCAGTGGAGGTGATCCTACGTCGCACACAGAGGCAGAGGAGTACATCTTCCACAGTTCTGCACCCTTTAGAACCCAGGAGGACGCATCGTCCAGCCAGCTCACTCCCCCCCCCCCCGCGCCGGAACCCATTCACCACCATTACACTCGGCGTCGTCCAAGACGAAGGGACGAGAGTGAGGCTAGGGAAGGGTTACACCAAATTGATGAGTAGTGAACGTATTGTATCATTGTTTTGTCCTTTTTCCTGGAATGCTGTATATAACGATTGCATTATCAATATAAGACATGCTGGTTGAATGAATCTGTTTGTGTTTTGAAGTTTTGTTTGCTTATTTATCCAAATCGGATATATGTCAGTCAAAATAGATCCTTCAGGGCTAATGTACATTAAACAACAGACATTTGGAATCCATAATCGAAAATGGGGAAGAAAGGATGGCCCGTGGTGGTTAATGTGGTTGTTCATGGTGGTTTTAGTGTTGTTGGTTGTGGTGGGTGGTTATCGACGGTTGAAGAATGGTTGGGGTTGGTGGTGGAGCTGGTTGAAGTGTTGTTGGAGGTCAAAAGTGGTGGCAGATGGTGGTCGATGGTGGGGGTTGATGGTGGATTGTGGTGGCAAGAATCATGGCAGGGGGTGGAGGGTGGGGGCAGAAGAAAGTGGCAGATCAGTGGAAAAAGGCTGATTCTGCTGCTGTTTTGCACACCAGCAGAGAAACGCTGTCCCAGACAGCGTTTTAGGTTGAAAATAAGACGCTGTCTGAGACAGCGTTTTAGGTACAAGGAAGTTTGTACATAAAGCGCTGTCTGGGACAGCGTCTTTGGTATAACTGTTTTTTTTTAAAAAAAACATTTTTATAAATAAAAGGCAATTACAAAAAATTTTAAAAAAAAAAAGTCAACAACAAAGACGCTGTCCCAGACAGCGTTTTTAGGTTGATTTTTTTTAAAAAAAAAACCAGGCATAAAACGCTGACCGAGACAGCGTTTTAGCCTGGAAGCTTAGTTTGGTAAATACTTTTGCCACGCAACCATTTTGGTTAATATTTGCCAAAATTGGCTCACTTTGGAAAAACGTCCATGCAAAAGAGCAGGGAATAATTTCTCAAGCTTATATGTCAATAATTTCTCGAATGTGGGACACCATACATGTGAACACATGTAAATATGTATTGCAAGGTTCAAAAGGACATAAAAAGAATTGCCTGATCATTTCAGCTTTAGTTATTTATTTTTCTAACTTTGTATTATACAGTTCATAACAGAGATTATCACATAATACCCTTCATCTTCTTGGAACATTTTACTCTTAGCATGCCTACATAAATGTGTCATAATTAATGTATACATTTGATACTATAAAATATTGGACGAAAAACGGAAGCTTAATGAACAGAAAAAGGCAGTATAAACTATAATGCAAACATATATAAAAATAATTACCAATTCATATATCTTTCCCTTATTAACACTTGTAAATCGTATCCTCTTTGAATCAATGTATCCTTCTGAAACACCTCTTGTCATTACTTCATGCGTATCTGAATGTTCTTCGAGATAATAAGCATGATGAGTTGAATGGGCAAAAAAATAATAAAGGATAGGCTTCTTTAAAAAGTAACTAACCTTGAGACATCTGCTCTATTTTCGTGCTTCTTTCTAAATATATATTCTCAGACATCAGTATGATGGCTATAATTTTCATCAAAGTTTGGCTCCTGCTTCAATGTCACATGAGGCTGATCATTGGTGCCCATAGGTTCATCCTCCTTCACACATCCATTGATACTGAATATTTTGACAACGAACACGGAATTCCCTTTGTATGTAAAGACCAAAAACACTCCTCGCGCTACTGAAGTGCCTGTCACAAAGTCTTCCCAACCCTTTTTCATAAGTAACTGGCCTCCTTCCTTTTCCAGATCCACATTCCAAACTTCTCCTTTTAAGCTTTTCAAGATTATGGAGTCTTCTCTCTGAAATTCCTTATAAAACCAGGAGGTATTACCTGTAAGATGAACCAATTCAAGTTCTAAATCAGTTCTCACAATTCATTCTTTTCCTTTTTATAGATTAATATGCATCAAGGGGGAGCCACAACGCCTACACGGCCTACAACATAAGTACATAGCTGTAAGGAGGGAAGCAACACTACATAACTTACATCTAATAATCATGCCTTTCTATTGGCTGTTTACATAGTTTTCAATATTGACACAAAGCAATGCCACAAAAAAATTTAAGATCCTTCCCGCTTACATAATGATGATTCCACCATGCTTTTAGCCAAATCATAAGACATAATATTTTCTGGGGCATATATGTGGATCCCATTATCTATTCTTCGTAACACAAACATAGTCTTCAATACTTTATACTGTACATTTGAAGTTAGTGTTTAGTTGGGCACCACAGGTGAAGACAGAGTCCTTCATAACTAACACTATATCCACAGAAGTAAAGGTCCTTTAAGAAGTTGATTAAGTTTAATTTGAAGCTTAACTATTTAAAATGTAGGATAATAGTATAACGTCATATATGTGTAATTTACGCAGTAGGTTAAATTAAGCTAGCTTAGCCATTTCCTAATCATGCAAGCATTAATCTGTACGAACTGGTATATAATTTGTGCAGCATGCATGAATCAAATGAGTAAAAAAAAATCACTGATAAATAAATACAGTATTAAAATGTATCCAATATAAATGAAAATAGAAAAATTACCAATTGCTTAGAATTGTGTTCTGGTAGATAAATTTTGAAAAACTCAGGAGGATATTGTGGAACAGGGTATTTACGGGGCCTTCCTCTTCTTCTTTTACCCGGCCTCGCCATTATTGATAATTTCTTCCACAATTCTGAAATTAAATTATTGATAATGAATTTAATAATTTTAAGTACATTTCATAAAATTGAACAATTAACAATATACCCCCATTTGCAAGAAAAACGGAGTAACAAAAATTGCAATTATTCAAATAAAAAAGAAATTATACAGAAGAAAGACAGTACCTTATTAGAGAATTAGTTAATAAAAACTTATTAATTTGTAATTAGGGAGTAGTAATTTCGTGTAATTAGAGATTTAGAGGCAAATGAAAGAAATGAGGAACAAGGGAGGTATTGATTGACACTGATAGACTAACAGATTGAGATTGAGTGTTTGATGATGGTTTGTTTTGACTTTTGAGTGTTGAACGACCAATGAAAAGCCCAAAGAAAAGTCCGAGTGATAGAAGAAATTAAAGTTAAGAAAGTGGCTAAGCCCATTGACTTCATCTTTGATTCTAATTTGTAAGGTTTGGTTGCTAAAGACGAACATGATGTTGTGTTTATTAAAAAACAAAAAAAAAATGAAGTTCGTAAGTATTGGCGTTCGAAAATTCGATGATCCAACCCAATTTTTTTTTTTTGAGAATTTCAGTGACCCGATCTGAAAATCAGGTGATCCCTCCGGCCCGCAATTTTCTAATATCCAAAATTTTGGATTGGATTCGATATCCGAAATTGAATAGCCCTAACAAGGTAACAAGTACATAGAGGGACAATGAATAGCTGGAAACTAAGAACACAACAATTCAAATATTACTCCAGTATTTTAAGCTCGGTTTTGTAAGGAGGGTTTTGAATCTTTTGATGAATTGAATAACGTAGAGGGTTGGCTATATAAATTCACTATGAGAAGGTATTGGGTGCGGACTTCCACACGAAAATTTGCGTGCGAGAGGTTGGCTGATACATTTCACTTGTTGGCTGAGTTTCAAGTGTTGGATGATATGTTTCATTTGTTGGCTGAGTTTCATGTGTTGGCTGATATGGTTTTTGTGTTGGCTAATATATTCCTTTTGTTGGCTGATATGTTTTTTTTTTTATAAAATTTTTGATATATTCCTTTTTGTTGGCTGCTATCAGACATCAGTTGGCTTATATGTTTCTTTAGTTGGCTTATATATATCTTTATTTTGTTGGCTGATATGAATATTTTAATTGTTGGCTTATATGTTTCATTTTGTTAGCTGATATGTTTATTTTGTTGGCTTACATGTTGCTTTTGTTTGCTGATTTCATCATTTTGTTGGCTGATATGCTTTATTTGTTGGTTGATATGTTCATTCTATTGGCTGATAAGTACCTTTTGTTGGTTGATATATATCTTTTATTGGCTAATATATTCCTTTTGATGGCTGATACGTTTTTATCAATGTATGTTATGTCCCTAATGTTAACTAATATCATACATCAATTGACTGATATGTCAATTTTAATGGCTAATATGCGTTATTTATTAGCTAATATGATTAACATGTATAATATATTTTTTACTTCCTTCCCACTTTCTCTCTACTCCTCATTCTTCTTCACAAAATAATGGGCAAAATCATATCATCCAAGAGCCCAAAATCTGCCAAGATTTCTTTCTCTCTTTTCTAATCCTATCATCGCCAACACAATCACCACGACACCACCACACTCTCTCTGCTTCCTGCCGCAGCCCCCACCCACCACCAACACAACCACCACCACTCTCTCTTCATCCTACCGCAGCCACGCCAGAGCCCAGCCTAACCACGCAAACCAGCAGCCCAACAACATCTCCACCACCAGCGAACGACAACGCCCCACCACCAGCGAACACCCCCACCACCAGCGAATGCCTCCTCCTCCACCAAACCTTCGCATCTATCATCTGCTTTCAAACAGAGCAAATCATCAATTTTGGTTCAATAGCAAACTTCGAAATAATACCCCCTTTTTGGATTAATTGTGATTATTTTATGCAATTGTGAATTTTTGATTTTGATTGGAAAAAAGGAGAGCAGAGGGGAGAGAAAGAGAAGGGAAGGGAAGGAGAGAGAAAGAGAAGGGAAAAGAAAAAGGAGTGCAGCACAAACAGTAGTCGCACTCAATAGTTTGTGATTCACTATTTTGGCTATTTGGTAGAAAATTGATTCAATAAACTTGTTATAATCAACAATTATAATTTCTAAAAGGTTTAAATTTTCTATCCGACACTTAAAGTATCAATTGTTGAGAAATTTTAGTCAAATGACAACTATATCCTAGAATTACTAAAGTGAAAAGCTAAACAGCGTTTGCATTTTACTAGGTAATGCGCCGTACTTAAATAAATGGACGAACATACCCTCGCTTAAGTAATGAAAATGAACAATTTAGCCCTTGATCAAGGTGAGACCATGAGAAACCCGGTTTTGCTCGTATAATTTGACTCATACTTGCAATTAAATTCAATCATCTTGAAAAAAAAAAAATTGAATACGTGCTGACAGGCTAAAGTCGTATCACATATTCACAAGTAATTCCTAAAACCACTAACTAAAATAGATAGGGAAGTAGGGTCGAATCCACAGGGAAACAAGTCTTTCTATTCCTAATTAATTAATATAATCTAAATTATCAAGTAGCCAATTTGTTTTTATGAGAATTAAACTAAAGGAAAATAAATAAACTAAGGCAAATTGAATAAGGGAGGAAATCGATAATAAAAGGCCTAGGGTATAGGTTCACCAATAAATAATATTCCTGGGTAAAACACAACAATCAATTATCAATGCATTAATTAATCAGATCATAAAGGGCTTTCGCTACGTATTACAATCACAAAATTAATCTACCGGTATTAAATCGCATCTCTCGAATCTTGACTTAACCATTTATAAATTAACTTGCCTATTGAAACTAAGCCTAAACATCAATTCTCATCTCTCGAATCTCGAATCAGTATTGCATAACTCATACAATTAAACCTAGCCTAATCTAATTGCATAGCATTAATTCAATCAATAGGAAATCAACCAAAGCATTAACAATCAATAATAGTAAATTACCCCTTCATATTATTTATGGATCCCCACAACCCTAGAAAATAAACTACTCACACATATTAAAATCTAAACTAAGCTACTCAAAGCAATTAAAGAAAACATAATCAAAAGTAATAATTAAGAAGAATAATAATATTATAATAAACTAATGAATCTTGATATGATATGAAAAGAAAACTAAACTAAACTAAAAAGGAAGAAAACTAAAACTACCTAATTGCTCCTACATACTGCTACATCCTTTTCTAAGGATTTAATAAGAATCTTATCTTAAATATAAGCTTAGGAAAAACTAATCCTAAACCATACTAAAACACTTAACAAAACCCAAAGAAGCTAAATAAAAAGCCGCGGAAAAATCCCATCTAAAGACTCGTGGAATCACGCTTCAAAGGTATAATTATGTGTTATTTGTGTGTTATGCATAGATCTTGTTTTAGATGCTTATGAATACGATTCATGCAATTCCTCTTATAGTATCTAAAGTCCTACAGTGGTATCAGTTAGCCTAATTCATGTACACATATTGATCATAATTCTTTGTTGTCGACAAATTTTAATTCAATTAAGAGGGAGAATACTTTAGTTATGGGTAAATTATTATTTTAAATGGTGATTTAACATATGGAATCATTAAAGATGTTAAATTTGCTCATGTTTTCTTCAAAATTTGGACAGTTTCTTGCCCTATTTGGTTCGAAAATTTCGACCCCCCAAACCCTAGTTCGAAATTTTTGAAACCTTAAACCCTAAATTTGGATGATTTGTTCTATGGTTTGAATAATTTCGATTGTTTTATGCTTCATGAATTTAATCTAATTGATTTCATGTATAAATTGTGAATTTTGCACGATCAATGATTTAATTTAAGAGTTATAAAATTGGGGATTATTTTTCATGAAGAACTGTAGAAATTAAAATTAGATTGTGAATTTAATTTTAATTAGATGAATAAGCATAAAAGTTATGTTTTAATTCATCATGGGTCACATTAATTTTATTTAACAAAAGTTGTTAACAAAAATTGAAATAAAAAAAAAGGGTTTAAAGACTGATTTTAGGCGGAAGCACGACTGGGTGGCGCAGCCACAGTGGCTGCCTCCAGTGGTGGTCCAAGAGGGAGGGCAAGGGCGGGGGTGTAGGGGTCCGAGAGAAAACGGCAGCACTGTTTAATTACTGCCGCTGTTGCTGCACCGCTGCTTCGACATCGTACACCGCCAAGTGTACGGCCACCGTGGTCGGCTTAGGCTGGCCTTACCACGGTGGCTGGTGCACGAAATTTTTTTCAAAAAAAAAAATTTTAAAATTCCAAATTAAAATCAGTTTTTATTTTAAAAGATAATGTCAAATTTAAAAGTTGTCAATTTGATAAGTTTTCAAAATTAAGGTTGTTAATTTTGCTAAGGTTGTTAGGATATTTTGAGCAAAAGATTCCATATGGATAATAATTGATTTAATAATTTGATTATCTCATAATTATTTTAGGATATAATTGATTTAAAATTATGTGATTGGCTAGTAATTAGGATAGAATCTCCTAAATTTGTTAGGATATCTCTAAAGATAAATATGATTTATCTTTTAAGATTAATATAAGATTTCATTCTATCTCATGCCTAATTTAAAATATATGATATTATAAAGATGGTCATGAATAATATGTGATATTATCTAATTATAGATTAAAATCTGAGATATTTTTGGTACCGTGTTTCCTTAATTTTGAACATTCGATGTTGTAGTTTAGGCAAGCATGTTTACGTGATATTTATTATGTGGTCGTTTTATAATAAGTGATATTATGTTGCTATATAATGACTAGTATGACCCAGTATATTACTAAATATGATCTGTGCATCGTGATGTATTTTTGTAATTTAAGTACGGTCTGCGTACTGATTAAGTATTTTGTAATTTTATCTATTTTATTTAAATAGTAAATAGATTAGAGTAGAGTTACAGGTTGCAGTTAATCCAAGAAGTCCATAAAGTGAAGGCCCAAGGTGAATAAGGGATGGTGATCCATGAAGATTCAAGTGAGAGCATTTACTTTATTAGTTTCTTAGGATTAGGGGCCATACTATGTCTTGTTTATACATTCAGTAGATTATGCATGCTAGCTTTTATTGATGTTGATGATGATGTGCTAGAGTTCACTAAATTAATCACAATATAATAAATCTAGGTCCCGGAAATATTGAGATTGATTTTCCAATTAGATACCCAACAACCCTTCGATTGTGAGTGATGGGTCTGCCTCAGCAGGGTGTCACTTGTTATCTTAGGTAATTTGGGGTAGATTACGTTCTACACATTTAATTGGTTGTGCTTAACAAGGTTACCTAAAGCGTTTAGAACCTTGGAGCAAAGGGTAATAATTAAACATGAGATGGTTAATTATTCAACCAAGAGTTGCACGAGTTACAATTAGTAAAGAGTTTACTTACCTTGAAAATGTAATGCTTGATGGTAGGGCCTCAGTCCGGTCAAATATTACACAAATAAAGGATCTTGGAATCACTTAATTCAAATGGGACAATTATTTTGAATAAAGTGTTAAAGTTACCTATAGCTTAAATTTAGGTGCTTTAAAGATAAACATAGTTGAATTTTGCATTTATTAA